ACTCTACTGGTTCTCTGATCTACACATAGAAGACTCAGCAGTTAACTGTGGAGCGTCGTATGCTTGAGAGCAGCTGTTGAATTGAGCTGAGTTTTCCTATCTGTCTTCCAAAGTTGCATGTAATGCTACATATTGCAGCTTATTCCCTAAGTGAGAAATCTAGGTTAAAAATTTGTGTTCTTAACCCATCATTCTAGTGAGGGACACTGTATTGTCACATTACTATTCACTGGGGAGATGGTGATCACATCTCATGTAACTGGTTAGTACTATAGGTTTTCTTGCTTTACCCACTACAAATTTGTCATGTGCCATCTGGTTGAAGCATCTTGTGGTGTTGCTTATGAGTTGTCCCGCAAAGTCAGATATGTGGAAAACCATGTAAACAAGTATTATCAAGCTACGTGAGCTTATAGAAGCATAGAGTTGTTAGAGTTGGAAGGGACTTCTGGAGGTCATCTGGTTTGGCCTCCCTGCTCAATCAAGCTCACATAGGGCCAGTTGCCCAGGAGTTCATGTGTGCTATTTGTGGTCTGGAGCCTACTGAATTTAATGTTTAAGAGCTTATATATGCAGAAGTGCACATGCTGTATGAGAATGTGATTTAGTGTTACTGAGGAGAAAGGTTTCCTGGTCACCTTTCATCTGGAATTTGGAGCCATTGTAAGACACTATAAACATAACTCAGTCTTATGGTCTTTATAGGCATTGTTAAAAAGCCTAGAGGCTTCAGAAGAGATCTTAAGAGGTGTGCAGAGTTAAGTTGTGAGGACAATTGGTTTCAACAGTACTTAGAGACAGTAAACCCGCATAGCATCTAAGAACGTGTTGTGTGAGGTAGAATTGGAGTGGGGAATGGGCTGTGTATGGTACAGAGTGGTCCAGGAAGTGCTGCTGACTTTGTGATCCTCAGGCAACGCTGAAACTCTGTGCTTTACAGATTGGAGCCTGATTTCTCTCTTAGAACACCTCTCTGTGTCATACGTTTCTAAACTGGGCTTGAGCTATGTGCATTGAGATTCTGGAACCTTTCATCACTTCAGTATGATAAAGTTTGACTTTTACCTCAGCAGGGAGGACCAGATGAATCTCAGGTGTATCTCATTACTTCGTAGTAGATGTGTTATGCTGGAGAAGCACTAGCAGGGACCTCCAGAGGAAGATTAGACCCTCCCTCCCTCCCTGACAAAGCCTACATTTTTGAATTAACCTAATGCTGGACTTAGATATCCTCATACACACAGCAGTCTGTAGAATCCCAAAATTCAGTGTCAGAATTTCTAGTGCTCAATTTCTGATGACAGCTGGTATGAAAGTAATATTAAGTGAAAAGAAATAGTGGTTCTTTTTTTCTGCAACCTTGCAGGTAAATTTAGGTCACTGCTGTTTGTCTGCCTACATTTTTGCCTAAACCCCTTCCAAGCAAACTGTTAGTTTCTTGCTGTTTCTGAACTCCTGTTCTCCTGT